GAGGGTTCCTGTGAAATGGCTGGACTGGGGCTTAGCCTCTCTCAAGGATCAAGAGAGATGTATTTTTTCCACGCCATCATGGGCTGCTGGCTCAGGACAGAAAGAAAGCAAGCAGAAATTCTCAATTACTCAGATGCATGTGGGAGAAGCTTGAAATCCTAAGCCTTAAAAGCTCAAAAGCCAAGCAGTGAACAGAGAGAATCCAAACAGTATTTATTTGCCCAAAGTCTTGATTTTAAATTTTCTGGTGAGTTCTCTATGAACTAAAATTCTTTCTTTCTTTTCCTTTTTTTTCCTTCCTGTACAGAAAATCCCTAGAGGAGGAAGGACAGCTCCAAAGTTTGCATTCATTGACACTTTGCAGTGAAGCTGCACGCACAGAATATGCGTAAGAAGAGACATTTGGAGGTGATTCTTACCCAGCATTCAAATCTCTTTTTAAAAGAACACAGAAAGACTCTCTCCTGGGACACTTCACCTGGAAAAGATTCAATTTTTCTGGAATCAGCATGAAAAAAATGCAGACTCTCAAAGCAGTCCATGCCGCAGCTCTCTGTAGGGCTGGCATGTACAATTCTACAATTCTGAAATTCTGCATTTAAAAATCACTGTTCACCCCAAAACATTCCCTGAACTATAGCACTTACAGCTTAAAGTGGAACACAAACAACAGAGATGACTAAGTGGCAAAGATCCCAGAAACTTGGTCTAACCTCTTTTACCACCTGAAGTGTCATCTTAATCTACATTTCATGGAAAAACAACACCTCTGGTCAGCCATTGGCATGCCTAGAGGAGCCAAAACCAAAACCAAGTCCCCTGCCCTGTGCATATAAACATGTGAGAGTCACATAGGAGGTGGCCTTGGCTAAGTCTGATGAGGGGATGCAGACAACTGGAAATAGATTAAGCACAGGTTCAGATGGAAGAGGCTGCTCAGTGCCCACAAAGGCAGTGCCACAGGGTAGCAGAGCTCTTCATCCCTCTTCCCAAAACTCCATTTGGAGATGGAGCCCACCTAACAACTTGGGAGAATGAATCGCTGCTGGTCACAGTCCCTGATCTGCAGATCACCTTTTTTGTTTGACTTTTGAACCCCATGAGTCTCTCATGCAAAATTCATAACCACATTTGGTCTTGCTGCATTATACTTGGCTCATTATTTATGGGTGGGCTTTGTCTTTCCTCACATCAATAACCACTCACATCATGAGTAGCTATTGCTTAAATCAATGCCACTCACATCAGCAGCTCCCTTAAAGGTGAATTCAGATGACAGCCAAGCAGGGCTGGGAGCCTGGCTCTGCTCAGGTGCTTCATGAAATACCACAAGCACTACAAAAACAAATTGATAATTACAAAATGTAACAGCTCCTGGGACACAGGGTGGTGGAAAGGAGGCTGAAACATTCATGTTTTCGTTTGTTTTTCCTATTCAATTACTTTGTGACTTAGTATTTGTTTTTCCATGTCCTGTCTATTAGATCACAAACTCTGCAGGGTGGAGACTGTCTCTTACTATGAAGCTGAAGAAAGAAATAAAGGTAAATAAAGTAGGATTACAGGATGAAAAATAAAAACGAAGCAGATGACACCCCCAGCAAGGCTCTGCTCAGCTGATGATAACTGACAGCATCACAAGATGAGTTGGCAAGTTAAGAACCTGGTTTTTACTCTTTAAAGTCCCACATTTCCATGTCAACAGTATTTTCTAAACAACTGACACTACTGATTCCCCACAGAAACATAACAACTGCGAGATGAAAATAATCTGCCCATGCATATGCTATGGATCTTTTATTCTTCTTTCTCTCCCCCTTCTCTGTTCAAATATTTGCTCATCAGACTTCAGCACCAAAAGCTGGAAGCATGCCATTCTGCCCTTCTAACATTTCATAGAATTCTGCATTTATTTGCAATTATATTCTCCCAATAAAAAACATGCTGCTTCAAAAAATCTTCCTCTAGAGAAATTTTATGTATTCTGGCCAGTTGTTTACTGCAGAATTTTTGTAATAAATTATTCTCACTTGCAGCCTGACCTTTGCAATTTTCATAATAAAACAAAAAAAAGTATACTCCTGCAGATGTACATTCACATCTTCTCTTTCCTCTGTATTTTGCAGCAGATGTCAGTGAGTACAGCTGCTGTACAAGCTCCTCAATACACTGATCTGGCATCTTTAATGATGACACCTGAGCCTCAGATCCCAGGGAAATCTTTTATATTTCTTTACAGAAAACGCACATTTTAATGGACTGAACACCAACATGATACTTACAGTGCAAGCTTCAATCTAAAGATGTCTCCTGATCTACCATTTGTTCTCTACTAAAGATTCAGGCTCACTAAAAAGTGCAAATCACAGAATATTAAAGATGCTTTTTATAGCCTATCAGTCACTGAGGCTCTATGTACCACTCCATGCACCATCCAAACTGGGAAATACAAAGCAATCTTACAATTTCCAGATAGAAATTAGAAGATAAGGGTAGAGGAGGGAAGAACAGAGACCTGGGAGCTACAGCAGTAAAGATACTTGCATTTCACATTTTGCAAATTGGTGACTGCAGCATTTCCGTATTGTCTCTAATTTCCTTACTTCCAAGTTTCCTTCATTTCTGTCTCAAATTTTAATAATAACCAACTTTTGAAAGTATACATTTCTAGCACTATTTCTTTTTTCCACTTTCAGCATCCAATTCTTCTTCTGGGACCTTCCTACACGGAAACTGTGTCTGCCTATAGAAAAATGCACTTCTAATTGCCTCTCTTTGTCCCTAAAAGCTTGCCTTGGCATTAAGAAAATCCAGATCCAAGCTATGAAAACCAAACAGCATAAAATACATTGCTCAGCTATATGGACTCTGTAGGGAATGTGTTTCCAGCCCAAGAAAAGACAAAAGGGTTAATCATGGCTCAAATGACACTACTGACATAAAAGTTCTCATCTGGGCTCTCCTAGATCACTTTCCTATGGATCTGAAAGCATTTTGTAACAAAAAGATGAGTTCTAGAGTCTCAGAAAATTTGAATCACTCAATTGAGGACATTTAAGATCAATTCTGGGAAGAGAATTCAGGGTTTACTAATGCTTCCTTAGGTCACACTGCCTTCCAGAATGCACAGTGACCCCTCAAAACCAAATTAATAAACTTCATCATTACTCTGTTCCATGTTCGTTATTTCTGGTAAAGGAAAGGACATTTTTCAGGGAAATCTTGGGGTTAATTTGTTACATGCATCTTCTATGTCATGTTTTTTTTTTGGCAAACGATCAGTGAGCTCATTAATTTCTATATCTAACTTAGTTTCTGCTTCAAAGTACTATGAAACAGAAACAACCAGACACTCATGCCAAAAAGTAAACATTAAAGAGAATGAGACTATAAATGGTCCCTTTTAAAATTGATTCAGATGCAACATAAAGCAAAAGGCCATCTTAAAACTAAATGCTCTTAAAATAAACAATTATGATCTCCTTACCCCCTGCTTCAAGTAAGTATTTAAGCTAATGAGAGCTAGGAAATCAATGAGTGGATATTGAATTGCTATCCAGCCAGGCTTCAGACAGATTCTGGTAAACAAACACAAATCTAAAAATAAAAGTGATGGGGAAATCTTTTTTTTTTTTCAGGAAATTGCACATTTATAAGAAGGGAGGGAGGAGTGGGTAGAAAGAGATACTGTAAAAGACAAGTGGTGAAGAAGAGATCATACTTGAGATTTTTCCATCTCTTGGAGAAGATGCTTAGATCAGTATCCAGTTTAATAACTGCGACACACCACTGTCCATGCTGAATCCATGGGCTAACATGCCTTTGGCTCACATGTGCACACTCATCTACAGGTGGTATTTAGGACTCCAGAGAGGGAAACACAATTCTCAAGAAAAGCCAATGTGGATGAAACTTCCCACAAGAGAAAATTTCTAAATATCACTAATGCTTCTTGCTCTGAGACCTGCTTCAAATTTCCTTTTGCTTTATTTTGTATAACTGGCAGTTCCACTGAGAGGCTTTGTTGTTTTAGAGAGGAGCCTGCATACATGGTATTACAGGAGAAAATCTAGATTTTGTAGCAACACCTACTATCACTACTCTCAGCGCTGCAAAATTTTTCACTAAGCTGAGAGTTTGAACACCTCACAGTCGTGCCACACATTCATAATTTCACTTGTACCAAAATAAAGTGCTGTTCTCCTGAGTTTGTGGCCATATCTCTCCAACAGAGAAAAATGGTTACGGCTGGAGTTTTCATATATTGTCATATACAATCCTCATCTGTGCACTTTTGGTACTTTCAGACACAGGGCAGATGATCCCACTGGAAAGTTGCAGTTGCCTTCTTCCCCTCCAGGCTGCAGGGTATGCAGGAGGTTTCCTGCTCCCAGCCCTGCTTCTTTGCCCAGCTTTGTTCAGACCTCAGTGGCAGCTCAATGACATCGAAAAGAGCCCAGCCAAAACACGGAGTTTTAATTTAGTTTGAAAAGAGATAAGATCTGATAAACTGCAGCAATGATTCCCATGCTTTTTATTCACATCCTGGGAAAATCTTATATGCAATGGTCCATCTCCAGGAAAGATTTTTTGCAGTAGACCCAGGGCATGAACTGAATGATGTGCTCGATGTGGAACCAGTGGAGAGAGCAGGAGCAGAGGCAAAATATTCACAGGCTCACATTGCTAAGTAGGAAACCTGCTGGCCAATATTGCCAGTGCACACATTAGGTCCCTTTTCAGTGAAAAACATGAAAAGAAATGTCCTGAATATGCTAAATTACTTTTCATTATGAATTTTGACTGATGCTCCAAACTGCAAACATAATCTACAGCAGAATACCAAGTTTTACCACCTCTGACACTACTGAGTGCACATGACTTAATTCACCACAGACACAACCATGGATGTACCTGGTTCATCCTGGCACTGCTGCCAGGGAACAGGAAAGAACCACCAGACGATTTTTTTTCAGTAACCAAAGCAGAGATGCACTTAAAGCTGTGTTTACTACACCAGCACTTTAAAGGGCACCAGCTGGGCTGGCACAGCCTCACCTGTGCCCTTCATACTCTCCTCTGAACAGAAGAAACTTCTTGTCTATGTTTTATTTGATGGCAGAGATCAACTTCTGTCTGCACAACCATTGACTGCTGCCAGACATGCAGCAGTCTTTAACAAACTACTATTCTGCAAGCAATTTCAGAGAATCAGATAGAGAACAAAGAGGCTACCAAACCAACCATAAACATTCAAATGGAGAAAACATTACAATGAATAATATTAGAATGGCTCTAAATTCAGAGCTGGTGTCTCCTCACCCTATAAAAGTCCCTTACTGTGTGCTTTTTTATGAGATGTGAGGCATGCAGTGTTACCCTTTCCATGATGAGATTAGAAAATAGTTTTCAGGAAACATCTGTTTCAAAATTGAGCATTTCTACCTAGAATACTTTCTTGAAAATTGAAAAAGAGTATTTTAATTTTTTTAAGACAACTGTATTGTGTTGCAGACGAGTTACAAAGACTTTGAAACAGTAGTGGTGGATTTTATTTTCTTTTCCAAATAAAAAGGGTGATCCTGTGTAAGCAGATATTTATTTTGCTCATGCATGAGAAGAACAGATGATTACACAATGCCTAACTGCAGAGTAACCTATTTTAGAAAAAGGAATCAGGTGGTTTTACAAGGAGATAAAATTGACTAATTTAGAAGTTCCTCAACAGTTCACTTAGTGCTCTCACAGACAGATCCTGGAAATGCAATAGCTGATGCTGCTGTTTCAAAGTTTTACTTCCAGCTTTGCTTTTTCATAGAATTATCTGTAATTTAATTGCACGAGTCCAGATACAATCCTTATTGCACTGTTTCCCAAAAAGGTATCAGAGAAATTGCAAGAGAACCAGGATATACCACCAAGGAAGACAAAACTGATTTAAACCTTGGCTGACAGTCCAAAGGAAGTCCAATCCTCCAGCCTACCTACAGCTGGAAAATTTACCTGGCACAGTGCTCACATGGGCATTGTCATAAATCTTGACCTACTATAGAAGCAGCTTCAGCCTCCCAAAGAGCAAGTAATAAACTGGCCAAGCACAATATTCCTTAAAAAAAGTGTCAAGGAAACGAAATAGAAGAGATTATAGAAACAGATAACAGGATGGATTATTTTCAGGGCAGGAGATCAGTATGGTTGCCTGATTTTTGTTTTGGCAGCTGCACATCCCGGGGATGCCTATTTAGGGACAGATTTTACTTAAAGCTTCCGCAATGTTGTGTATAGAAGAAACAGGAACAAAAACATGCCTCATGGACACGTACATTTTTAGAAACCCAGAGGAAGTGAGCCACTTGGGCAGCTCCAGGCTCATGTTGTTTGGTTTAGATTTCTTAGTTATGAACACGAGTGGCTTTTCACACTGAGTGGAAGTGGATCTGGGAAGAAAACAGCTTGTCCAAGCACAACTCACCAGGATGAGGGATGCAGAGTTTCCACTCCCAGCAACTGTTTTGGAGATCAAAGCAGCAGCGAGTCAGAGGGAGCCCAAGCATTGTTTGCTTCACAGACTCTTACGTACAATTATGTAACGTCATTAAGAGGTGTAATTATGGAGCCCAACCATGCATTTTTGTTATTGAAGCCAAAGTATGCTTAATGGTGTAATTACTTTTAAAAAAGAGCTCCCACGACTAATTACATCCACAGGGAGACAAGCAGCAAAAAGCTTCATAGTGTAATATTAGGAATGAATTATGTGTCTGGTAGTGTTGCTCCTCATTCCAAGCACAGCAGTGTAAATACTTCTGCAGACCCCTCAGCTCCCTGTGCCTTCCACAGCACCAAGATTATCATGAACAGCAAGGCCATGAACAGCAAAATCCTCTGGATAACAGCCAAGGCCAAGTGACCTTCATGCTGCACAGGAATGATCCCATTTCACCCCGAATGAGTCGGGATATGGCAGGCTGTGATCAACCATCACAATGCCACACAAAGGAATTTATGGTGACTGATGGGGTCTGCAGCCATGCCCCTTGTGCCTCCTACCTGTTCAACCTTCCTGTTTGCCAGGTAGCTATCTGAGGTTGATTGAAGTCATAGGGTGAATCCAAGGGGAAGATCTTGGCAAATGCTTGCCCAGGGCCAAGCACCACCTGCAGTGTCAGTGTCACACTGGCCACCAACCCATCCAGGCAAAAGTCACAGGATGCTCTTGGCTGGTCAAGGAGAGCCAAATCACAGACCACAGACCTGAATCCAGCCCCTGCCAAGCACCCACACTAAGCTCCCATCACTTCAAAACCAACAGCAGGAGGAACTGGCTCCAATCCACCTCTCTGCCAACCTTTCCCATCCCGCGTCACTCATGAACTCAGGGCAGATGGGGATTTGGCCTTTCCCCACCCAGGAGCTGTCCCCTCCAGCCCTGTCAGTGAAACACTGGAAAATACAAATCTACTCAAAACATTGGTCTGAAGCCAAGGAAGTATTACAGTATTCCTCAGATCCATTTGTCTTACTGCCTGAGATGGAGTTTATTACTAGGGTGCTGTGACACTGTGAAATTTATGGACAACAGACTCACTCCATCCATCCCAAAGAGACAGGGAGCAATTAACACCTCCCTATTCCTAATCCTACTCCCTTCTGCTTTTGGCTTGTTCTATTCCACTTTCCTTCTTTATCCTTCTATGATAGAAATAGCAGAGTAAACACAGCATTTATCTTTTTTTTTTTCCAGACTGCCTTTAAGAGAGCAGGAAGCCTCTCCAGGTTGGACACTTGCAGTTCCCAGCTCCAGCCCCAGGCTCCAATGTTCAACTCCACAAGCAGAGATCTGCAGCAGCCATTAAAATGGAATCTGCTGGGTTATGCCTGGAAATGTATTTCACTTTGCTAGCATGATTCCAGCAAAGTTTATAAAATTGGGAATGTGTAATGCCTAGCAGAAGGCCTGAGTGGTTTCCTAAGAGAGCTTTGCTAGTCAGTGCCACATCTCACCCAAATTACTTCTGCAAGTTCCATTTAACATCTACAGCCTCTGCTCCCTTCAATGCTTCTCAGCTCAAATAACCCCCTGCCCTTTAGTTTTGGGAAGAATATCGAAATTCCCACGAACACACAAAAAAAGCTCTTTTATTTTGGGAAACCCGGGACAATTTCAGCTGAGCTGTCTGAGGAGCAAGTGGGTCCATATAAACTGAGGAAAGTATCTTGAAAAAATGAAGGTTATGTGAAAACCCAGAGCCTCTCAATTGATGACTTCAGATCAGTTTTGCTACTAGTAAGCAAGCTGGATATTCCCTTATTTTTTTGCCTCAATAGGAGCATTGGAATATGCTCTTCAGGATTACAGTGAATTATGTGAGAAATGTGGAAAAAAACTCCTGGGATAGGAAGGAATCAGTCCAAAGGCAGGGCAGTGTTCCTTGCTGTGCTGGACCTTCATTATGTTGATGCCAGGCAGCTGCCACAAGTGCAGGACAGCTCACATGGGAGGATTTGACACACAGACTTGGGGGGAGCAGAGTAAGATTGAGTTTGGGATCCAGAAGGGAAAAGCAAAAAATACAGGTACAGTGGAAAAATGAAGAAAAATTTCAAAAAGTATTTCCCCACAATCCTCCCTGCTGATGTTGATCATAAATAATGGCACAAGCTCAATATAATGGTACATCTCTTTCTGATCCAAAATAAATTCCTTTTAGGTTGAACTGATGAGTGCCCACAGTACTTTGAAATTTTTATACAAAGCAAGTTTCAAAACTCCAGGAGGAAAACATCATGATAAATACTTTTACTTTTTGAAAACATGGGCTGCAAAGCTCCTCACAGCAGCTATGGAGCAGCAAAGGGAGATAATAAAAGCAGACATAAAGCTGGTAGACAAGAAAATACATGCCAAATAGTTTGGAGCAGTTGGCTGAGGACAAGTGGATGGTTAAGCAACCAAATGAGCTGACTACATTTTCAAAATGTGAGAATTCAGCTTGTGGATATTGATTTCCAGGCAAGCCTGGTTCACTTCATTCCCTAGGGCTTAGCTGCTTTTGAAGGTCTTTAAGAGCCAGTCCAGAAAACATCTGCTTACTTCAGTGCTGTTTTAACCATGGCTTATTTCTTCACTCTGAGAGCAAATCAGCAATACACTGACTCCAAAGAGATGCTCCAGCCTTCATTGAAAGCCTTTCCTGTTTTGCTTTCCTGGGCTCATTTTAAGAACCACAGAGCAGGACACAGAAGTGGCATCCATCCATCCATCCATCCATCCATCCATCCATCCATCCATCCATCCATCCAGGAGAAAACTTTCACTTTTGGTATAGAAAGCTCTGTACTTAATAAAAAAATAGGATTGATTTAGATCATGTCTCCCCTCCACACCAAGCTCCGAGGTCTCTCTTTGCACTGAGGTAAACTCAAAAGAGACCTGGGAGCAGCTGAAACAGGCAGGAGAGTTGGGGAAGCAGCTGGAAGGTCCTGGCAGGCTCAGAGATGGGTCTGGAATGCCCATGTGGCTCTGCTGATGGGGTGTCCATAAAACTGTGACACTGAGCAGGTGGCTGGTAGGCAGGATGGCAGCTGGAGGCCAGCTCTAGGGCTGGGGCTCAAGGAGCAGTGCTCAAAATAAGCCAGAAAATGCAACATCCTTCAGCTACCTGAAGTTATCAAGGAAGCAAAAAACACCAGAACTGGGCTTGATAAATAGCTGGTAAAATCCCATCACCTGTGCCCTCATTGGAATCAATGCCTGCTTCAGGTGACAGAAGGACTCCTCCTCCTCTTCCTCCTCTTCCTCCTCTTCCTTCTCTTCCTTTTCTTCCTTTTCTTCCTTTTCTTCCTTTTCCCAGCCCATCTAGCCCTCACTCCAAGGTTCTGCCCCATAGCAGGCACGGTGCCATGCTGTGAGTTGCTCATTTCTCACCCCATCTATGATTTCCATCTGCCTCTGAGGCACACACATGAGCCCAGACCATCAACACAGGGTGGGGGAACCAACCAGAGAAAAAATGCTATTCACCTCCTGTGCTTTGAATCTTCAGGGGGATTTATTACTAGTCACAGAGTAATTTTGGTAACCCTGGAGGTCTCTAGTCTACCCCACCATGTAAAACACATCCAACTAGATCCAGTGCTCAGGGCCACGTCCAGCCAAATTTTGAACTTTGCCTAGGTGGAGATGTCCCAGATGCTCTGGACAGCCTCCAACATCTGATGACATCCATGGTAAAAAAGCTTTTCCTACATCTAACTGGAATTTCCCACCTTGCAGCTTGTGCCTGTTGCACCTAGTCCTGTGACCACAAACCTCTGAGGAGGGTTGAGCTCCTTGCTCTTTACATCCTCCCATTAGGTGCTTGTAGACAGAAAAAAGGTCTCCTTGAGTCCTTCTCAGCTTCTGCTGGAGCACTCTGTGCTTCAGCACCACAGCACCTCAGCAGCCTCTGAGTGAATCAATGTTTTAGGGGCTCATTCATACCCATGGTGCCCAAAAATGATGTTTTCCTTCTGGCAGTACTGAGGCACAGGTGTACACCCAGGATGAAGGACTTACTGCCTGGGGAGGTACAGCTGAGCTGCAGTAACCAACCAGCTGTGTGTTCACTTCTCCCCTCACAGTGGGAAGTGAAACCAGACAAATAAATCCTGAAGCCAGCTAACAGCAAACAATGTAGAGTCACTAAGCTATGGTAATACAGGCACTTGCGGTCACAAGCCAGAAACTGAAACATTTCTTTTGTCCTAAACCAAACACAGCACTAGATCTCTTCAACAAGGACCAATCTGGGCAAACCTTCCCCCAAAAGCCTTTTTTTCTTTTCTGCAACCTTTGATCTTTTAGCTATTAAAGTGAATTGTTTTTCTATCTCTCCCCTGGGGTCTATATTTGGGTGGTGAACATTGAATTTCACACCAAGAGAAGGGGACTGTGCCAGGTAACTATGAAGATACAATCAGATAAAAGAGTTCCTCTTCTCAGAAAGGAAGGCTTTGGAGGGAGTAACTTGTGGCTAGAGACTTAACTTCACTCACTAAAATTCAGAGCAGGTGCAGCCTCTCTTTAAAGCTGGTTCAGGCTTTCAGTGAAAGTTCACATGGCACATTGGGGACGTCAGGACTCGCTGTATTGGGTAGACACAAAAAAAGTTGATGATGGTGCTCTCCAGAAACTAGTGCATCTTCATTTGCAGCAAAAATGATACAGGGACATCATTATTAGCAATAAATATTTTTAAAGAGCATTATTAGCACCAAGGGATCATTTGGAGATATCAGTTGTTTAAATACAGCAAGTGTGGCAGAGTGGTTGTTTGTTCATATAAGGAGAAAGAAGGGCGAGACAACTGTGCCATGCATCATGTAATTACAGCAGCAGGGCTGGGCTTTTTCTGGTGATGAAAAGCTCCACAGTAACTCCAAAATGTGCTCAGCTGGTTTTTATTTATTACTGGCATCAGCACAATCTTTCTTAAGGATTAGGGGAAAAAAAAGTGAGAGTGTTTCTCAAAATTCACTTACTCTTTTATGTGTGACCATAAATGTGTCTGAACACTGACTTCTCTTTCTTCTTTTCATTATTTTATGTATAAGCATCTCTGAACATGCTGGCTGGAGGCATTGAGAACACTAGGGGAGCACCTGGTTTGAAAGTTATACCAAGGCAACAGAAGTCTTAATCTTATTCTTGAAAATATTTAAAAAACAAAACATAATATTCATTCTAAGAATAAATTTTACTTGATCTTGCCATGCTCAAACATATGACTCCTTGATTCTGAGAGCATATGTAAAGATAGTTCAGGGCTGAACCTAGGATTTCTTACATGTGCAAAGCAGGAGGAATAGGTACTTTATTTTTCATTTCACTGTTATTTTCTTTGGCAAAGTGTTTGCACAGGCCTCACTGGGATGGTTAATAACATTCAGTTTCTTTGCTAAAGGCATTCCACCCAGCCTTGATCTCCTCCAAAGCTACTATAAATGGATTTAATTCAGACCCTGATATTGAACGCTGTGTAATGAGCCAAAGATTTTAGTGGACAGAAGTTTTACAAAGTTCTGAGAGTGGCACACTGGCTCCCAGAGCAAGGCTGGCTTAAACAAATGGAGCTGTTCTTAAGCTGTGTTTCCACCCCCTGCTCTCTATCCACACTGTCCAGTGATGGTGTAAACTATTGCTGCTCTCTGCTCTTTGTCAGGAGGTAATGCAGGTGTGAGCTCTGCCTTATGTCAGCCAGGAAAGTTTGGCTTTTTGGGGTTTTGTCTGAACACGCCGTGTAATCTACATAACTGTTCTTTTTTTTTTTTTTTTTTGCCTGGGATTCCTTTGGTCCATTTCTTGTTTTGGTTTCCTAAGAAAAAAAGAACCTGATGCTGTTTATTTCCCTCCTGTAATTTTCAATCTGTTGGAAATGACTGGCATAGGGCTAATGTATTGCTGATTTTTCATTTACAAAACGTGGATGTTCTCAGTTTGTACAACCCTCAAAGCAGAAGTAAATTTTCCTCTTCTAACCCCATGCTGAGCTGTAAAAGACCCATCTCCATCTTGCTTAATGTAAAGCCATCAAGTGTCACTATATGCTGCTTTCTTTTTTAGGAGATATGTCATCAAGTCATCTATAATTAAAAGCCCTGACTCTCAGCTAATAAGGAGTGAGAGTACACAGATTTATAGGTGGCTGGGTGTCTGCTCCACTGGCTCTGGCTTTGGGAGTGTTTCCTTCTCCAGGCTGCAATCCCTGTGACACCGTCACAGCTCATAAACACCCGAGGTGAGGCTCCTTGCTGACCCACGCTCTGCAACATCACCAGTGCTCTGTGCCATTGCTTCTCCCCATTAGAGTCTATTTCTCATTATTTCATAAGTAACACAAAAATTAAACTGCATCTGAGGCAGCAGGGAAATCAATCTTCTGCAGAGAATCACTCCAGTTTAAAAATTCAATATATCTTTTATCCATTTAGGCACTATAGATATATATATATACAAAAAAAAATTTAGCAAAAAGGCACTTATAGAGAAGGCAGAAAAAATATATCTCAAGTAGTGAGCATCTACGGTGCAATAATATTCTTCTTTATACACTCAGACAAGTGTTTTTAGGAAGACAGATGATGTCTAAATGTTCTTTCTTGATAATTTCTTGTGTGCTTTCAATTTTATGCAGATAATTAATCATTGTAATAGGAGCATTTAGACTTTTAAACACACATTTTTCCACAAAAAAAACCCTCAGTCTGGCTGGTAATGTGATAACTGTTCTCCAATTAATTAGA